AAAAAAAAAAAAAAAAACCAAAACCCAAACCACCCAAACCCAACAAACTTCTCCAGGACGTTGCTCTCCTGCAAGTACAGTTCCCCTCTCGGGCTGCACTGGCTGCCCAATGGGTGCGTGTATCTGGAGATGGAAATCTTCCACGGGTCAGACTCCTGCTCTTGGAAATCACAACCAAAGCCATTGCAAAACAACAACCGCAACCCAAAAGGTGTTGCCTGCCCAACTTACCCGTCTCCTTTTGAAGCTTTATTTTGGTCAGGGCAAGAATAGAGATAGTGATGAAAATCAGTAAAATGAGAGCTGGTAACACAACTGGGAGTAGACGGGATTCACCTGATGAGCTGGAAAGACGAACCATCAGAATTAAATTGGATTTTGATTCAGCTATGGGCTGGTTGAAGTACCTTAATGCAGTTTTTACACCGAAGAGTATAAAGGAGGTATAAAGTCTGATTGAATTGAAGCAAAACAGTCAACAAAGTCAAGTAGAGATGAAATCATTTGATCTGGAGCTTGGCTTATGAGGAATTAATCTCTACAGCTGCTTCTGCTCTACCATGTGGGGTTTATGATGAATTATCCCCTCCAAAATGAAAATGAGCTAAATTCACAAGTTCATACTCTTTCTTTGTGGGTTGTTACAGGCTCTCATGCTGTTGGAGGGTGTCTACATGCTGTCTCCTTGCAAAAACGCTGTAAAGTGCTATCAGAGCTCCACAGACAGAGAGGGCTTTTCCAGGACCAGTGCAAAAGCTGACCCTTTATACAAGAGAACGATTTGTGGTTGGTAACATGCTCCCCCCACCTCTTTCTGGCTGGGTGGCAGGGAGATATGGCTGGGGATGGGAGGAGTGGGGCTGGAGAGGATGGTGCTTCTTGTGCTGGGGGTCACGGGGACAGATGCGAGCTGCGAGGTGCATGGGGGGACAGCTCAGGATGTTGAACTGGATGTGTGGACTTTGTGCTTTATCTTCAGTTATGACTGCTACTGCAATATCTGATGCATCTGCACCAGCTATGAATAATCCCTTCACCCGGTGCTGGCTGGTGGCCACAGCTGGGGCGAAAGGTGGGAGAGCAGCTCACAGCCACCCTCTGCAAGAGGAAGCACGGAAGGTAAATTCACCGGGAAAACCACTTGCACTGGGGTGAGCCACAGGGCTTGCTGTAGAGAAGCACCACGGAATAATTACTGGCCAAAACAGATCTCAGCCTTTTGATTAACCTTGTCCAAAGATAGCTCCTTATGCAACACAGAGCACCCAAACACTACCCTGGTCACCGGCTGCCCATGAGGACCTGGATAACGCGTGCAGTGAAGTATGGAGCAGGTACTGATTCACCAGCGTTATTGCTCAAGCCTAATGTTTCCTAATGTCCTGGCTCCACGCTGAGCAAAGGAAAACAGACAGGAGCACATCTATTGACTCTGGCATCTGATCTACAGGAGCAACCAGCACCAGAAGATTTAGAGACAAGTTCAAAGATGCCACAGATGGACGTGAGATAACCTTGCCTTCTGCCTTTCTAATTACTAACATCTCCTATTGGTGTTTTCAACTTGCAACCCATGTACAACCTATGCGGGGCCCCGGGAAATGGGGTAGACGGATCGCAAACCACCAACTTGGTGCCAACAAGAAGCGTGGCCGTGAACTTACCTCTCATGATGGATTTCGTCTGGGGAGGTTACAAAGGCGCCGGGGTTGGCAGTGGACAGCAGGGTGCTGGTGGTCCTGGTGACGGTGCCTGTAGCGTACGTCAGGCCCGTGATGCTCCTCTGCGTGGGCGTGCTGTAGGTGGCCGGACTGGATGATAAAGCGGGTTTCACAAGAGTGGATGTTTCTGGCTCTTGTGAAGAGCAGGTATCTACGGAGAAAATTATTTTGAGGCTTGGATATCTGTCCTTTTGCAGAGACATGTTACGTTTACCAAAGATTTACTCATTTCACCTTGCATCTTGTCATGACAAACTGTGCAGCACGACATGGCCAAACCCAAGCATTTCTATTTTCCTTTGAGTCTTATAGAAAGCAGCTTGGGAGTCCTAATGAAAACCCATTAATACTTTGCAAACGTTCATACTTTAACCCCACTATTTCTGTCTTTGCCAGCTGAACAGTTACACGGGTCTGTGTATTTACAGCCGGCAGGTCCTAAAACTGCAAGACAACCTTCAGCTGATCTTCAGAGCAAAGCACACGTCTCTGTGCTGCACTTGCTAGGATCGGGGTGTCGTATGCTAGGGGTTTGCATCATAAATAATCAATAACATAATTGAAACAAACTAAACTTCGTCTGAAAGCTCAGCTTGCATCCCTGCATCTGAAAACCTTTACCATCACCTCAGTTACTTGCCAATAACGGTAAGGCAAAAGCTGTAGCTGTTTTTTCTTGTAATGTTGTTATATTTATGTGTAGTACAAAGGTGAGTCTATTCCCCTTGTGCCCACGAAGGAGTAGGGGAAAGAAGGATTTCAGAAAAGAGTTTTATTGTGTTCCAAGCCATCCCACCACCTACCCTTCTGGATGCGCAGCTTCACAGAGGACGTGTGCTCTGTGTGCCCGTTTTTAGCCCCGCACCAGTACCATCCCTCATCCTCCTCTGTCAGGTGCCTCATCACCACCGTGTAAGTCCCGTTCTCTGGGTCGCTGCTGGCGATTTGTATTCGCCCTTTGTACGACTCGTGCACAAACCCGTCCGCATCCACGAGCAGCGAGCAGCTGGCTCCCTTCCACCTGCACAAATACTTCTTCTCGTAGTTCCCCTGGGGATCATAGTGGCACTTCAAGGACAGCGAGCCTCCGACTGCGCCGCTCAGAAATTTTGGTCTCCTGGGGAGGGTGGAGGCTGCAGGTTGGAGAGGACCGCGTTAGCATCCCATACTCCTCATCCGGCGCTGCGAGGAACCCGCGCGGCACGTGCAGCCCCCAGCGCCCCGTCCTACCTGCTGTCACCTGCAGAGCCACCAGCTGCTGGTGCTGATCGCTAAGCCTTCCTCTCCCACACCTGTACAGCCCCGAGTCTTCCTTTTTTAAGTCATTTATCAAGATTTTGAATGCTCCAGAGCTCTCCTGAGGGGTGATAAAGATTCGTCCTTGGTACCTCTTTCCCACATAGCCGTCGGTGTCGGCGATGAGAGCACAGCCAGTCCTCCCTAGTTTGCACCAGAACCTCTTCTTGCCACCTTGGGTGTCCCCCGGTGGGCACAGGACCGTGACAGAGCCACGGAGCTCCCCCCGGATGAGTTCAGTCGGCCCCAACGCACCAGCATCTGTAGGGAGAGAGCATGGCAGGCACCATCCAACGCGGAGCCCCTCTCCGGGCAGGAGAGACTTTCCTTTTACATTCATGAACAGCTGATTTGGCCAAATCTGGGTACTTTTATACCTCACTGCTGTATAGCACAGAGTAGAAAAAGCTGACGTGCCTGCTGTGCGCTGATGCTCCAGCATCCGGCCCCAGACTGCCCCCTGTGAGCCGGGCTGCCGGCGGAGCGGAGACCCCCCTCTCCCCTGCCAGCATCCTACCTGCCAAAACCGTCAGGTTCAGGCTGATGTACAGGTCTCTGTTGGTGGTGCCGATGCCACATCGGTAGGTCCCCGTGTCACTCTTCTTCAGCTCTGTCACGATCACTGTGAAGGTGCCATTCTCGGGGATGTCCTTGAGAGACACTCGCCCCACGTAGTCCTTTGAGGTGTAGCCGGTTGTAGAAATGACGGTGTAGCAAACTCCGCTTGCTGCTATTTTGCACCAATATTTTCGGTCGTATTTGTTGGCCGGCATGATGGAGTAGAAGCACTGATGGGTGACCGATCCTCCAACCTCACCTGTCAGAAACCTGGATCCGTACAAGGCACTTGAGATTGACTCTTATGAGGAAGGAAAGAAAGAAACGGAGGTAGTTGGTTACTCAGAGACAGCCGGCTCCTCGCCTGGCAAAAACCAGCACAGCTCCTTCGAGTCAGGGGCATGATTGTGAGTGGCACCAGTGGGACGTGTGGCTCAGAAAGTTGCGAGTTTATTTTGGATGTGGTGTGTTGCATTCCTTGAGTGCCACTTATCCACTTGAGGATAACTGATGGTGCAGAGCCGCTGCCCTGTGCCATGGCACAGATGGGGAAACCCTCGATGCCCCTTATGGGATGCCCCAGACCCCCACCAGCCCTGACAGTCCCGCCTGGAGCTACATGCCAAGGGCAGCAGTTAGCCGCAAACATCTGAGAATAACCTTTGGCATGTGCAAACTCTGCCTGATCTGGCAACTTTCTTCTCCCTGCACAGGCCCAAGGGGCTGTCCGCAGTGCCGAGCCGTGGAGAGCCGGGATTCTCCTTCCCAGCTGGGATTCTCCTTCCCGGCTCTCACCATGCCTCCACTGGCGCTCTGCAGCGGGCGGGGAGGTTTGACCAGTTTCCATTCTGCGGATGGAGGTGTCTCGTGTCCAAGTGAGGATTCAGGCAGGGATGTACCTGCGTCCCCAGTTCCCGCTCTGCCTGTTCTCGTCGCTGAACAGGCGGGAGGGTTGGTGTGACGGCGACTCACCTTGCAGCAAAGCTGCTAAGAGAAAGAGAACCGCCATGGCCGGCCTTCACCAGTGTTCGCTCGGCAAACTTCAAAAAAACCCTCGCGTTGGGTACGGGATGTTGCTGATGTCTGTGTTATCAAACAGAAGAGAGAGGTTGTGGCTGGGGTCTGCCAAGGTAAACCACC